ATAGTCTGGCTATCTTTTTCTTTTAATGGTAGAGTTCAGAGTTTTTGTATACTCAGATTATCTACACCATCTAATTTTAGAACATTTTTTATTATCTTAGGATGACCCTCTGCTCCAGTTAGCATTTATTTTGCTCTCTCTTTCTGCTCAGCCCTTGGTAGCCACTGATCTATCTCCCATCCCTAATTATGGGCCATTTTATGTGTGGTGTTCTGTGGCTGCTTTCTTTCATTTGGCATAGTATTTCCATTTTCATCCATGTGTAGCAGGAGCATTCACTTCACATTTTCTCTGCTGCAATGACATAGATGGGACCCAGGCCCTGCATATGCAGACCAGTAGTGGTCTGCTACTGGCTTCATTCTTAGACCTTGTTTGTTTGCGGCAGGATCTGCAACCCCCTCCCCCCCTCCCCCTTCTGAGTGCTAGGACTACAGGCACAGCATTACAGATAAAGTACATTTTATTCATTCATTAGTAAGTTGAGGAACAGTTTGTTTCCATTTCTGCACTATTATTAAGAATTCTGCTAAATATGTAGTGGTGCTGTTTTTATGCTCAGGTACATATGTATACAGGTGTTTGTATGTACATGTGTGTACATGCATGTGTGGCGATAGGAGTTGATGCTGGATGTCTTCCTCAGTTGCATTCCATCATGTGTTTTGAGACAGATTCCCTCACTGATCCTAGAGCTCATCAATTGTCTAAGCCGCCTGGTGAGAATGCTCCAGGGGTCTGCCTGTTTCTCGACACCCAGTGATGGTTATACGTGCTTGTTGCATACCCAGAGTTGATATGGGTGTAGAAAATCCAAACTCAGGTCCTCATGCCTAAGTGGCAAGCATTTTACCAGTTGAGGCATCTTCCAAGCCCAAGATTTTATGTGGACATGTTTTTATTTCTCTTTGATTATACTGACAATTAGGATTACTGGGAATATGGTAATTTTATGTTTAACATTGGGAAGAAATGCCAAGCTACCTTTGGAAGCTATAACATCATTTTACTTTCCCATGGTCAATGCAAGAGGGATTCATTGCTTTTTCTCTTCATCGTCACTGATAGTTGTTTTTGCCTTTTCTTTTAGCCATTGTAGCCATTGTATGTGTACCAGCTACAGAGTGGTATTTTATTGTAGTTTTAGTGTGAATTTCTGCAATGGATAGTGAAATTAAGTTTTCATGTGATTTCTGGTCAGTTGTATATTTCTTTGGAGCAATATCTATTAATTTTTCTGTGCTCTTAAAAATTTTCTCACTTGACTCAAATTTCTGTAAGATTTTTATGTTCTGAATAAAATTGTAAAAATTTCAATTACATTATAGATTTATTTTCAATTTCATATATATATATATATATATAGAGAGAGAGAGAGAGAGAGAGAGAGAGTGCTTTGGAGCCTGTCCTGGCACTGGCTCTGTAGACCAGGCTGATCTCAAACTCACAGAGATCATCCTACCTCTGCCTCCCGAGTGCTGCCACCACACCATCACCCAGCTTTATTGATATCTTTTAAATAATAAAATTTTAGTTTTAAGTTTTATTTAGATGTATATTCATTTTGTATCTAAGAAACAGAGGCTTAGCATAAGATTAGAAAGACGTTCTCTTTTGTTCTTTTCTTAAAATTTAAATTGGAAACAAGCTTGTTTACATGTCAATTCCCAATTCCCTCTCCCTCCCTCCTCCCCTGATCCCCACTGACCCATCTCCTTTCTGCTCCCCAGGGAGAGTGAGGCCTTCCATAGGGAAATCTTAAAAGTCTGTCATCATTTAGAGCAGGGCCTAGGCTCTTCTGCCATGTGTCTAGGTTGAGAGAGTATCCCTCTATGTGGAATGGGCTTCCAAAGTCCATCATATACTAGGGATAAATATTGATCCATTACCAGAGACCCCACAGATTGCCCAGGCCTCCTAACTGACACCCATATTCAGGGGATCTGGATCAGTCCTACGCTGGTTCTGGGGACCATCTCCCTCTTGTTCAGGTCAGCTGTTTCTGTGGGTTTCTCCAGCCTGGTCTGGACCCCTTTGCTCATCCCTCCTCCCTCTCTGCAACTAGATTCCAGAGTTCAGCTCAGTGTTTAACAGTGGGTGGAAAGATGTACTCTTTTCAAGTTATGTAGCTTAGCATTTATGTTTCAGTCTATGATTCATTTTTAGTGAAATTGGAGTTTAAATTTATTGTTTTCCATGTGGATGTATACTTGTACAACCACTGTTAGCTAAGAAATCACTATTCTACATCTGAGTTTTTTGAGACCTTTGTTAAAACTCACTTAAATATGAGTGTAAATCTCAACCTTTATTTCCAGACTCTTGCTTTTATTCTTTTAATCTCAATGCATGCTTATTGCAGGTCCATGTTGTCCTAACTACTTACTACAGCTTTAGAGTAAGCTTATACTCATGCTCTTCTGTGTTCACAGTTCCTTGTCATCCCTCTTTCTTATTCCGTTCCCATCAAACCCTTTCCTCTTTCAAATAAGAAGTGCCTCCCTTTTCCTAGTGCATACCTTTCCATTTTTGTGACTCATGGCATGTAATCATGGCTGTCTTCATGGGCATGGGTGGCCACACTCATTTGTTTGAGAGGGGGCAATGAAGCAGGGCCACACCACTGCGGAATATACCCCCCACCTGCTCTATCTCTAGCTGCTTGGGCGGGGTTAAGTCAGGAAGAGTGAATTATTCCATTCCCTGCTGCTCCATTCTATTTCAAAACTCACGTAAACTGTGCTGGATCCTTCATGTTGCTATATGAATTTTAGTTTGTTAGATTCTATGAGAAAAAGCAATTGAAGTGTTTATACAGGAATATGCTGAATGTGTACATCAATTTGTGGGACATGTAAATTGAAAAGGCTTTTCATCACACAAAGCATGTCTTCTGATCACACAACAGGACTGATGTATATATGAACTCACAGAAACCGTGGCAGGGTGCACAAGGCCTGTGCGGGTTCAAGCTGGACAAGGTCCTAGCGCCGAGATGATGACATGGACACAGTGTCCCACCCCTAACCCAGAAGATATCTGCAACTGACATTTCATGCCAGGAAAGAGAAAATCAGTTTTCTCCAATGGAGTGTCACAGGGTATATTAGTCACACTCCAGGGCAGGGTCCATGGCCTGGAGTAGTTGGCCAACACAAAATGAACTCTTTTTTGTGTGTGTGTGTGTGTGTGTGTGTGTGTATTTTTTGGTTTTGTTTTGGCATATTTTGTCCTATTGGTATTTGCTTTCTTGTTTTCAATTCTGTTTTTTTTCTTTTTCTTTTTTTGAAAGACTGAGCGAAAGAACAAAAAGTTGGGTGTGTAGGGAGATGGGGGTGGATTTGGAAGGAGTCGGGGGAAGGGAGGAAACTGAATAGCTGAAAAGTAAAACATAAGCAATTACAAGAGAAACTCTTCGGATTGAGGCGGAGTGAAAGAGTTAGAAAATGAAAAAAATTGGAATGCTGAACCATAACACTTCAAAAGCAAAACAAAAAACCAAAAAAAACCCCAAAATATAACAAATAAAACAAACAAACAAACAAAAACAGTTTAGCACTGGAAGAGAATAATGCATCAACTCTGGCCTCCATGGCCTAGTTCTGGAAAAACCCATATTTCTTGCAGCATCGGTTGCAGTAGTGTCTGGGTGTTTAGAGGTCAGCTAAGGGTTGGGTGGAGATTAAAAGAAAAACAAAAAGCCTTATTGTTTTGAGCCCCTAAGTTTTTCCCCTCCGTTTAGGGACTCTGCGTGCAGAGCAGTAATACTACCTCAGCTTTCCATACTGATTTTGACGGCCTCCATGCTAGCTGGAGATGAAGACAGGACATCTCCCCATCCCTCCCCAGCATGCTCACAGCTCAGTGTGTGGAGTTGGGGTGCTTTCAGGAGTCTTCTGTGTCAGTGTCATTCCCCGGATCTCTCCTTACTTTCTTGATCCCAGACTAACCACACTGACCCCTATTGTCTTCCCCCAAACTGACACCATTGTCTTAGACAATAGTGATGTGAAGTGACTGGGGCTGATTATGTATTTATTTATCTTTTACTTTGACAAATGATGTGTGACTAAAGCTTTCACTTTCCCCAGTCAAGTTCCGACTCAGGCTAGACAAAGATCACATCTTTGGATCCAGTTCTCGCAGGGAGCTTCCAGCCATGCCAGTTAGGAACAGTTCTTCAGAACTTGTCTAGGGGAAGCAAATCCAGTTCTACCCCCTACCAGGGACTACTGTGCTGCAGGTTCCCACAGCTATAAGATTGCAAGACTTTGATTGATTGTTTAGGGCTGTCACATAGCCAGAGAGGACACAATGAGAGCAGCAGAGCACTTCACAGCACACACAAGCATTTCCATTAAGACCCAGCATTTCTTCTTGAAGTGACACATTCTACATTGTTGCAGACTTTAATTTATCTTCTTAGTACCTGAACAGCTAAGGTTGCCAATTTCCTCTACTATTTTCAAACTTTTATGCAAGCTTCAGTTATGTTTGTCATTATAGAAACTTAGACATCTTTTTTTTCTGTTTCTCTTTTGCTTTAGAAACCCTGGAGATAGCATCTGTAAACTTGCCCATTCCTGTGCAAACCCAGAATTACTATAAGAATATTTCTGACAACAAAGAGATCGTAAAATTAGTCTCAGTTCTCAGTACCATCATCAACTCCACCAAGAAGGTATGTGTCATGACACTGTTACACATCCTGGGCTGACCCACATGTGCTCGAATGAACTTCATGTATGCTCACCCTGTGTGCTACTTGATTTCACCCCTGATAGCTCCCCTGGTCAATGAGAGGCATCTTGTCTGTGCTCAGTGAATGAGTGTTCAGCGAAGACCCTTTAGTCTAGAATGCAATGGAGAAGAGCTGTGAACTCCCTGTTTCATATCATCTTCTGTTCAATGTCTTTCACCTCCTTTGTTAACATAAATGAATGTAACATCAGAGGGAGGTGATAGTCCGCCGGTTCTTCTTCAAAGAGTAAAACAGAATAAGGTGTGAAGTCAGCATGCCTGTGTGTGTGTGTGTGTGTGTGTGTGTGTGTGTGTGTACTTACTTGTGTGTGCATATGTATAGACCAGAGGTCACCATAGCTTCCTTTATTGCTCTCCAAAGGGTCTCTCACTGAACCAGAGACTCACTTTTTTTTCTTTTTCTTTTGGTTTGGTGTGGCTTGATTGGATGACCAGCAAGCCCTTAGGGTCTGCACCGACAACGCTAGGATTATGGAGGTGTGCTACTGCACTACTAATGTGAATATTGGGGTTACCAACTCAATATCAGGTACTTTATCCACTGAGTTATCTCACTGGAGTTTGGGTGTTTCCATACCAGGAATTGCATCCTGGCCAGTAAATGATGTTACGATACATCTTTTCGCCAAATGCTGCCTGAGGCCTACCGCCATTCGACAATCTCTGACAGCCGCCTGCCGGAGTTAGGCCCAAATGAATACACAGAAACTTGTATTAGGTACAATGCTGCTTGGCCAATGACTAGGATTCTCATCTGCTAGCTCAGTCTTAACTATCATAAATCTATATATTTTATAAGACTTATCTTATTGGACGCCTTATTGGCGTCCTTCCTTGTCGGTGGCTCACATCCTGCCGCTGGAGGAGGCAAATGGGAAAAAGGGATGCTTCCTGTTTCTCCTCTGCTTGCTATGTCACTTCCTGCCTGTATCACACTTCTCTACTACATTTCCCAGAATCCTCTTTGACTCCTAGTCCCGTCTACTTGCTGTCTCATTGGCCAAACAGTATTTTATTTAACAATCAATAAGATAAACACACACAGAAGTACTTCCCCATCAAAATGATATATGTGTCTGTTCTTATATGTGGACAGGCAAATCTTACAAAACATTAGATGAACACACACACACACACACACACACACACACACAGACACACACACACACAGACAGAGCTACATGAAATTCAGATAAAAGCAAGTATTAAAATGTTACTACCATCAGCACACACTTATACTGGTTGGCTGTAATGCCAATTTGTTTTTTTCCCCAGCCTGCTCCCTTCCCCAACTTGAATTTTCTTTTTGTATTCAGACAAATTTGCCCTTGTAAGTCAAAAGACTTAAGATCCTGAAATCAGTTTTTTTTTGTTTAGAGATGATGCACACATTTATTCAAAGCAGTTGACTCTCAGGTTTTCCTCAGTGTTGAGTGAGTAGGTGTTTGGTAAGTACGTGTTTTCTGTGGCTGTTTTACTAGAAGGAGCTACATTTGTTTGAAAGCACCAGAAAAAACTACTTTTGCTCTAACAAGATGAAGAAATGTTGTTAAGTCATGTTTAACATACTCCCCAGGGAACGACAAGTCTTTGCATTTATGCATATTTAATCTTTTGTTCTTAGCATTCGGAAGATCCCGTGTTTAACGTCCCTCTGGGGACAGTGTTCACATATTCAACAATTATTTATCTAGTGCTCAGCTTATCAGACTCTGTACCAAAGGATGGAGAAAAAAGCAGTCTATGAAAATACGCAATTAGATAGTACTTTTAGAAATTACAGAGGATGCATCAAAATAAGTCAGCACTTGTGTTAGTTACTTCTCTCTGCTCCAAGGAGATACCCCACGACAGCACCTTAAGGAAGAGTTTACTTCGGCTCCCAATCTTTGAGCATAGTCCATCATGGCAGGGAAGGCATCGTAGCAATGACTGAGGCTGCTGGTCACGGTGAATCTTTAGTCAGAAGACAGCAAGAGACGAATGCTGGAGCTCTACTTGCTTCTCTCTTCCTGCACTGTCATTCAGTCCAGGATTCACAGCCCATAGGATGGTGATGCTCACTTTCAGGGTGTGTTTTCTCTCCTCAGTCAAACCTCTCAGACACATACAGACATTTCCAGAAGTGTGGCTTCTGGTGGATTCAAAATCCTATTAAATTAGCAAGGAAAGCTAATTGTCACAGTAGTAGAGTCCAATGCTCTCTCTGAAAATAACCAGTCACTATCATGGTGATCTAAAGATGGGACACAGTAGTATTAATGACTTAGAGCTAGCAACAAAAATAGGTGTCGTGATTCTTTTAATTATGGAAAAGGAACACAAAGTCTTCCTTAATGTAGTAGTGAGTCTAACCAATGAGGATTCTTAAAGGGGCCCTGAGTGATCCACAGTTTTCTTCTGAGCTTCTTAATGGCACAACTTTGCCTGTTCTTTTTGGTCTAAGGTCAACCTCTAATCAAGAGGTTCCCTCCCCAAGTGCCAACAAGGACTTCCTTTCCTTCTAGTTTTACACAATTCTTTCTTCTCCCTTTAGACTAGGGATGGTAAAATACTAGCCCGGAGTCACTTTTGATGACATTTTACCATTTCATCCCAGATCAACACTGAGCCAATCCTCGGTTGTGTCACAATGCCATTTCAGTCTTCCTTTTCTACACAAATCTATCATTTCTGTTCTAGGAAGTTATCACATCCATGGAACGCTTCAAATGCTACAACCACATTTGGCAAAAGGAGAAAGAAGAAACTGTTATGGCATTTATTTCACAAAACCCTTTGCTTTCTGAATTTGAGTCCAGGATTCTTTATTTCCAAAGTCTGGAGCAGGAAATTAATGCAGAGCCCGAATACATCTGTGTGGGTTCCATTGCTCTGTACACAGGTTGGTTAATTGTCTTTCAGACAGTCATGTAAATCCAGTAGCATTTGCTCTGTGTCTTTACCTAGATTAGTATTCCAAAGAGTTCTAGCTTTCTTTAAAAAAGCTTTCCTTTTATGGGCTTCAAAATTTAAGACCGATTTGTAGATTTGTTTTTAATTCCCTTCTGCAAAATCATTAGTTCTGGTCTATCTTAACACTTTGCTGCTTAACTTGAAAATAAAGGGTAGTTTCGAGAAAGGATGAGCCCTTTGTAGTTAGAATTAGGATTGAGCCTTTATAAGAGTAACTAAAGCAAATGCTTGAAGCTTATATGTGTGTGTGTGTGTGTGTGTGTGTGTGTGTGTGTGTGTGTGTGTGTGTAAAGATTTTAAAATGCAATTTGAATTGTTGTAAAGGTAAGATTTATAAGATGAATGAGTTCTAATGATTAAGAATATTTCTTTGTATGTAGTATTGATGTGTAATGTCTTCATGTGCATGCGTGGAGGTCAGAGGAGGACATCAGATGACCCATTGTTGGACTCCTCTCCATCTTGTTCCCTTGAGAGAGGGTTTCTCTCTGAACCTGGAACTAGACAGGTTTCAACTATGCTGATGGCACAGCAAGTACTCTCAGTGACTGAACTGTACTCCCAGCTTGGCAAACATTATTTTTTTTTCTTTTAAGATTTTTTATTTGAATTAGAAACAAGACTGTTTTACATACCAATCCCAGTTCCTTTCTCCCTCCTGTCCTTCCCTAACACCCCCCAACTAAAACCCTACCTATCACATATCCTTTCTTCTATTCTTCCCCTGACTCAACCTTTCTGCTCCCTCATGACCTCTGCATCCTTCCTGTTGTTCCCTTATCATTCTCATAGCTCCCTCCCCCTCTTCCAGTGCTCTCAATTTGCTCAGGGAATCTTGACCCTTTCCCCTTCTCCAGTGGACCATGTATATTTCTCTTAGGGTCCTACTTGTTTACTAGCTTCTCTGGCAGTGTGGATTGTAGGCTGAAAATCCTTTACTCTATGACTAAAATCCACATATGAGTGACTACATACCATGTTTGTCTTTTTGTGACTGGGTTACCTTGCTCAGATTGGTTTCTTCTAGTTCCATCAATTTTCCTGGAAATTTCAAGATTCCATTGCTTTTTTCCCTATGAGTAGTACTCCATTGTGTAAATGTACCACATTTTCTCTATCCATTCTTTGGTTGAGGAGCATCTGGGCTGCTTCCAGTTTCTGGCTATTACAGATAGTGCTGCTATGAACATCGTTGAACAGATGTCCTTGTTGTATGAATGTGTTTCTTTTGGGTATATGCCTAAGAATGGATTGCTGGATTTTGTGGTAGACTCATTCCCATTTTCTTGAGGAGTCACCATACTGATTTCCAAAGAGACTGTACAAGTTGGCACTCCCACCAGCAGTGGAGAAGTGTTCCCCTTTCTCCACATCTTCTCCAGCATAAACTGTCATTGGTGTTTTTGATTTTGGCCATTCTGACAGGGGTAAGATGGTATCTCAGAGTTGTTTTGATTTGCATTTCCTTGATGGCTAAGGATGTTGAACACTTTCTTATGTGTGTTTCAGCCATTTTAGATTTCTCTATTGAGAATTGTCTATTTAGTTCTGTACCCCACTTTTTAATTGGATTATTTGGTGTTTTGGAGACTAGCTTCTTGAGTTCTTTGTATATTTTGGAAATTAGCCCTCTGTCAGATGTGGGGTTGGTGAATATCTTTTCCCAGTCTGTGGGCTGCTGTTTTGTCTTGCTGACTGTGTCCTTTGTCTTACAGAAGCTTCTCAGTTTCAGGTGGTCCCATTTATCAATTGTTGATCTCAGTGTCTGTGCTACTGGTTTTAAGTTCAGGAAGCGGACTCCTATACCAATTAATTCAAGGGTATTTACCGATTTATCTTCTAATAGGTTTAGTGTGGCTGGGTTTAAGTTGAGGTCTTTGATCCATTCTGACTTAAGTTTTGTGCAAGGCGATAGGCTTGGGTCTATCTGTAGTCTTCTACATGTCCACATCCAGTTATGCCAGCACCAATTGTTGTAGATGTTCTCTTTGTTACAGCATACAAATTTGGATTGTTTGTCAAAAATCAGGTGTTCATATGTGTGTGGGTTAATCAACTCTATTCCTTTGGTCTACCTGTATATTTTTGTGCCAATACCAAGCTGTTTTCAGGACTATAGCTCTGTAATAGAGCTTGAAGTCAGGGATGGTGATGCCTCTAGAAGTTCCTTTGTTGTACATGGTTGTTTTTAGCTATCCTGGGTCTTTTGTTTCTCCATATAAAGTTGAGAAATGTTCTTTCAAGGTCTGTGAAGAATAGTGTTGGGATTTAGATGGGGATTGCATTGAATCTGTAGATTGCTTTTGGCAAGGTTGCCATTTTTACTATGTTCATCCTATCTATCCAAGAGCATAAATCTTTCCATTTTCTGGTATCTTCTTTAATTTCTTTCTTTAGAGAGTCAAAATTCTTATGGTACAGGTCTTTCACTTTTTTGGTTAGTGTTACCACAAGGTATTTTATGTTGTTTGTGGCAATTGTAAAGGGTGATGTTTCTCTAATTTCTTTCTCCACCAATGTGTCATTGATATATAGTAAGGCTACATATTTTTTTGAGTTAATCTTGTATCCTGCCACTTTGCTGAAGGTGTTTATCAGCTGTAGGAGTTCCCTGGTAGAGTTTTTTGGGCCACTTATGTAGACAGTTGTACTTTTTATTCTCGAGTCTGATTATTCTCTTGTTTTTTTCATGTGGGAACTTAGCTCTATGAACTTTCCTCTTAGCACTGATTTCAAGGTGTCCCATAGGTTTGGATTTGTTGTGTCCGAATTCTCATTGAATTCTAGGAAATCTTTAATTTCTTTTTTTTATTACTTCCAGGACCCAGGGATTGTGCAATTGGGTGTTAATTAATTTCCATGAGTTTGTAGGTTTTCTGCAATTTGTGTTGTTGTTGAACTCTAACTTTAAAGCATGGTGGTCTGATAAGATACAGGGGGTTATTTCAAGTGTTTTGTATCTGTTGAGGTTTGCTATGTTTTGGCAAACAATTTTAACTGTAGTTTTGCATGGCTCTAAACTCACAGTGCTTACCATGAGTGAGCAATGTTCTGTGTCTGTTTTCCATTGGTTTGAGCTTTTCAGACTGACCTGTGCGTGGTTTGTTTTTACAGCTGATTTGAAGTTTTCTCTGACTGCGGAGACAAAAGCCTGGATGGTTGTGATTGGCCGTCACTGTAACAAAAAATACCGGAGTGAGATGGAAAACATTTTTGTAGTTGTTGAAGAATTCCAAAAGAAACTGAACCGGCCAATTAAAGACTTGGATGATATTCGGATTGCAATGACAGCCCTGAAAGAAATCAGGGAGCAACAGATCTCCATTGACTTCCAAGTGGGACCTATTGAGGTAGATGGGCAGTTTGTCTGTTATAGAAATATTGCCACACCTTGGATGCCATCAGCAGGAGTATTAACTGGGTCCGTGCTGGAATGACAAATGGGCATTTAAGCTAAAAGCTGCTGATTTCAGCCTGAGATTGCCCTTCTTGGGGAACCTTGTAGTCTGTAGTTACCTTACTATCCTTTATGTGCCCAAGAGCCAGGTTTATGTTTCTGGACAAATGACTTATAGATGAGTGCTTCTGGGGCAAAGGGAGTCGTGGAAGCAGGAAAAATAATGAGAACAATGCTGAGTGAGGCTGGAATCTCAGCTGTAGACCATCTTCAGCCTGATGCCATGGGGAACTCTTAGGAACAATTTGTGTCACACAGTTACATCCTCCTGGAGGCATGAGACACTGTTCTTTGTGATTCTGAGTCAGTGGGTCATTGACTATAATCTCTCCACGAGGGGGCTATTATCTACCCAATGCAATTTTCTAGAAGAGGAAGCAGCAGTCCCTGAAGTCAACACCCTCAGCAGTTGGAGATGGGAATCCCAGGCTGTCAGTAGAGTTTTTGTACGTACTATCAGTCTGACAGCACCCAGGCATGCATGTTCTCATTCCGCCATTACTGAAGCTCTACTTGGACATAAGGGAACAGGTCAATCAAGTCATATAATACAATATAATTAGCATTAGATTACTGTGTCACTGTGTGTGTGTGTGTGTGTGTGTAGTATGCGTGTGTGCACATGTGTCTGACTGCCCATATGGGTGCAGGTGGAAGCCTGACTTTGATGTCAAAACACTTTCCTCAATCATGTCTCCATCCTACTTTTTTTTTTAAAGATTTATTTATTTATTATGTATACAGTGCTCTGTCTGCATATATTCCTGCAGGTCAGAAAAGCGCATCAGGTCTCATTACAGATGGTTGTGAGCCACCATGTGGTTGCTGGGAATTGAACTCATGACCTCTGCAAGAGCATCTAGTGCTCTTAACTTCTGAGCTATCTCTCCAGCCCCTCCTTTTTGAGTTATGGTTTCTCACTGAATCTTAATCACTCCACTTCAGCTATCCTGTCAGTGTGAATCACATGTTTGTTTGTCTCAGCCCCTAGCACTGAGGTTCTAGACACTTATCACTATGCCTGGCTCTCACATGGATGCTAGGGATCCAAACTCAGGTGCTCATACTTGCATGGCAAGTATTTTACCTACTGAGCTTCCCAGCCCTGCTCCCACTTTTGTTTTATTTCATACTGCACTGACTCCCCCCAAAAAAACCTTATTAAAAATGGGTCACTGCGTTTATTGTTTCAAATATATTGATATTACTGTGGCATTAAAGATCTAGACTTAAGGGTATAGAGATATGGCTCAGTGGCTAAGAGTGTTTACCACTTTTACAAAGGACCCAGGTTTAGTTCCCAGCACCCATATGACAAAGCATACCCCCTTGTATCTCCAGTTCCAGTAGATCCACCGCCATCTTCTGGTTTCCTTGGGTGTTGCGTGTATGTGGTGCACTCCAAGTCATGCAGGCCAACTTTGACATGCAAAAAATAAAAATAAATGTTTAAAAAACCCAGATGTGAGGACATCACTTATTTTGCAGTTTTTTTTAATTTAATTAGAAACAAGATTGTTTTACATGTCAATCCCAGTTCTCTCTTCCTCCCCTCCTCTGCTGCCACCTCCCCACCACCAACTAATACATTACCTATCCCATACCCTTTCTGTTCCCCCAGGGAGGGTGAGGTCTTCCTTGGGGGGTCATCTGATGGGGAATGTACTTCTGTGTATGTTCATCTTATTGATTGTTGAATAAAGTACTGTTTGGCCAATGAGGCAGCAAGTTAGGCAGGAGGATTCTGGGAAATGTAGTAAAGAAGTGGTAATCCAGGCAGGAAGTGACATAGCAGGGAGACTCATATTTAAGGAAGGACAAGCAGGAAGTGGTCCCTTTTCCTCTCCTCTCTTCCTCCAGATTTGTGATGTGATCCACCAGCAAGGGAGGATGCCAATGGAAGGTGTCCAATAAGATAAGTCTTATAAAATATATAGATTTATGATAATTAAGACTGAGCTAGCAGATGAGAAATCCTAGTCATTGGCCAAGCAGCATTTGTACCTAATATAAGTCTCTGTAACTATTTGGGGCACTAACTCCGGTGGGCTGCTGGCATAAAGCGCCCATGTGGAGGTAGGGCTTGGGTGGCTTTTGGCGGAAAGATTTATCTTAACAGTCATCAGAGTCTGTCATATCCTTTGGGATAGGGACTAGGCCCACCCACTTGTGTCTTGTCTCAGGGAGTATCCCTCTATGTGGAATGGGCTCCCAAAGTCTACACCTATGCTAGGGATAAGTACTGAACTACTGCAGGAGATCCCATAGATTTCTGAGGTCTCCTCACTGAAACCCATGTTCCTGGGGTCTAGATCAATCCCATGCTGGTATCCCAGTTATCAGTCTGGGGACCAAGAGCTCCCCGTTGTTCAGCTCAGCTATTTCTGTGGGTTTCACCAGCCTGGTCTGGACCCCTTTGCTCATCACTCGTCCTTTTCTGCAACTGGATTCCAGTTCAGTTCAGTGATTAGTTGTGGGTGTCTGCTTCTTCTTCCACCAGCTGCTGGATCAAGGCTATAGGATAGCATATATGTTAGTCATCAATCTCATTATCAGGAGAGGGCATTTAAGGTAGCCTCTCCTCTGTTGCTTAGATTGTTAGTCATCTTTGTAGATCTCCAGACATTTCCCTAGTGCCTGATTTCTCTTTAAACCTAAAATGTCTCCCTCTATTATGGCATCTCCTTCACCTTTTATCAAACTTAATTCAAATGTCTGGCCTTACACTCGAAAGGTTAGCAGCAGCCTCCATCTTTGAATTTCCTTATCTCTCCTTGAATTTTCAAAAGTTTCATATTACCACGAAAGTGGTGTAGACATCCATATTTTGGCATCTTCTGGGAATTATGTGGCCTATCTTCTTCTTGGGGCTGAAATTATCAAGGCAAAGCTCTCTTATCTGTATGCTATTGGGGAGCCTCTTAAGTCTGAAGACAGCCCTATTTCTTCCCACCCTAGAGTTAAGACAATAGTAGTCAATGGAATTATTTGGAAGCTGTGATGCAGTGTGCCATTCTGGATCTTCTAGCTTTAGGTGTCTGTATTACTCGGTTCCTATTTATACTGAAGCACAGACTTCAGCCTATCTTCAATGAGGAGGAGGAGGCAGAGGAGGAGGAGGAAGAGGAGGATGAAGAGGAGGAGGAGGAAGAGGAGGAGGAGAAGGAGGAGGAAGGCACCGTTATGTTTGACTAAATCTGTGTTCGCCTCTATTCCCAGACCATCAATCAAATGTACCAGATCAATGTGGGGAGGACAGTGGTGGAGAAGAGGCCAGGGGTATTCAGGAAAATAATTTCTTATGAAAAGAAACTTTGAGGATACGCCCTCACCCACATTTCATTTTCTTGCCTTCCCCTCATTAGTTCACTTGGCTTCCCTAGACAGTCTCCCTTCCGCCTTCATCTCATGTAATTTTATGGATCTGTATAAAATCTGGAAGTCACAAATGAGTGAGAACACACAATGTTTGTCTTTTTGAGAGTGGCTTGCATGTAATTGTATGATAATGTCTGTGTGTATAGCACAAATCTATGTACAATGAATACACATATAAAAAATTATAAGCAATAAATCAAAGGAAAAAAATCCCAACTTTGCTAATCTGAGTTAAATTTTTTCCTGTATTAATATTTCCTGTACCAGCAGTTAGTATTTACAATATTTTTACCTCTCCACCTCCTCCACTGTTTCCCCTCTCAAATTGATAACCTCTTTTGAAATTATCTCTCTCTCTATGTATATACCTATGTGCATGTACTCTACCAGGTCCATTTAGTATTTTTTATGTTTATGGGGACTTGGGTTGCAGAACTTGTCATATTAACATTCTAGTTTAAATATTCTGCATTCTGAGTACAAACCCTTGGCTCAAGCTTTGGTTGAAATAGACTTTCTTGTGTCTGACTGTTAGAAATTCTTAAGAACAAGGAAGCTAAGTTTTATATTTTTTTTCATTCACTTGATATAATTTTATAGTGTTCAGATACAATCCTGAGGCCTGTATAAAATATCTGTTATTTGTGTCATGTTTTACAGTTTTGAAAATGCATTTAAAATGATGTTTTTAGATACTTCCAGACATTCTGGGAAATAGGCAGAGTCTTTTCATTTCACAGATGAGAGAATTGGGTCTGACTGGCTCCTCTGCTCAGTTAGGTCCTTAAAGTTCATGAGTTGAATAATCTTTGCCTTTAGGGTGACTTCTCTATCATGCTGGTCTCCCCACGCTCAGCTCCAGCCTGTGACTGTGTAAGGATTTATGCAATTGGATATCAGAAATTCAGTTTTTCTTCTTTTCTATAGGAATCTTATGCCATGCTTAACAAGTATGGACTTCTGGTAGCCAAGGAAGAGATGGACAAAGTTGACACTCTGCACTATGCTTGGGAGAAGCTGCTGGCCCGGGCCGGTGACCTTCAGAATGAGCTAGTCTCTCTGCAGCCCAGTTTCCGGAAAGAGCTGATTGGAGTGGTAGAAGTGTTCCTCCAAGACTGTCAGCAGTTCTACTTGGACTATGATTTGGTATGACTCTGGCTTGCTCTCTCTGAGATTTTAGGGAGAATGAACAGGATGCACAAAATATACGTGTTTCCTGGTAATAGTAATTTTATGTTTATATGGACAAAGACACATTTCTCTCTTTGAATTCCTCCTCTTAAGAGTTAATTTAGGATATAATTTCATCGTGAAATGATGACTGGAAAGTTCTGAAGTTGTTCAGTTGCTTCCTGTCCTCCTACTGTATGACCCTACCTCAAACTAAAAACCAGGATGGTTTCTAAGTTTGTGTAAGATAATGCTATTAGAATACAACACAATTCCCCCTTCCATAGTGCATATTAATACTCTAAGCTCTCAGCCTGTCCTTTGTATTGAAGACATGCATAGTGGTTGATGAGGCAGGTGGAGCCTTGTTCCCCCAGTTTCCATATTTTAATCATACATACAGGTTTTAATGCAAGAATGGGGTCAGTTTTGAATGTATTAGGTACCAGCACTCCACACTGCAAAGCTCATGAAAGTAGGAGGCCGGGTCTATGTATTCACCCCACAGTCAAGGAAACATAAAGCCAACTTACTTAAGGTCTTCTAATACAGAAACCCTGGACTGGACCATAGAGATTATGTTTCATTTTCTGGCAGTATCTGTGAGCTAATGGCCTTAGTGTTTTCATTCCAAACCACAATTGTAAGCTTTTTCCACAACAGCCATAGGTTCTCCCTTGATGGTGTCTCTTGAGAAGTAAATGATAGTTAAAAACAAAAAACAAAAAACTTCAAGGTTTCTTAACCTCTGGAAACTGTAGTCCTTAGTATGTCCTTAGTTTTATTAGACTAGAAATATCTTCTCAAGTGGATTACATTCAGACTTCTTTTTGGAAACAAACCAATAAACAAAGCCCACTTCCTGTCATGTATACAGCATGCACAGAAACTTTGATATGTCAGTATGTTGATCTCACAACATTTTGTGTACTGATGTTTCCTTTTCTTTAATGTTTTGCATTTAATCTGCATCAGAATGGTCCAATGGCAAGCGGTTTGAAGCCCCAGGAAGCCAGCGACAGGCTCATTATGTTTCAGGTAACCTTTTACGTTTCTACAAACTTGCCGAGCAATGAATATCTTGTTTGCATTTTAAGCACACATTAAGGGTGAAAACTCTATTGTGTGAGTGAGGATGTACTTACATTAAAAATGGCTACGGAGGAGGTAAGGTGGGTTGGGTAGAGATGGGGTTAGGAGGAGAGTGAGGGGGAAAACTGTGGTTGGAATGTGAGATGAAATAAATAAAACCAACATGGGAAAAATATAATTTGCTGTGGTTACAATTAGCCGTATCTTCAGATAAATCATTACAGTCTTTCACTACTGTAACTTACATGTGTCCCTAGCTCTCCCATTCTTGCTTGTTTGCCTCTGTGTTAACCCCCATGTGAATGATCCTGATGGAGCTCACTTACATTCTCTTTATCAGAATCAATTTGATAACATATACCGTAAGTATATCACCTACACCGGAGGAGAGGAACTTTTTGGTTTGCCAGTTACTCAGTATCCTCAGCTTCTTGAGATAAAGAAGCAGCTAAATCTTCTACAGAAAATATACAGCCTATACAACAGTGTCATAGAAACTGTGAATAGTTACCAAGACATCCTTTGGTCAGAAGTCAATATTGAAAAAATCAACAATGAACTCTTAGAATTCCAAAACCGGTAAGAAATCAAATGTTTTGCACTCCCAGAGCTATTGAAATTTAATGTCTGTGTTGGGGGGAAAGGGTGTCTGTGTGTGAGAGATAGAGGCCAGATATCACTGGCTTCCCCTCTTGTTATCCATCTTTCTTTCTTTCTTTCTTTCTTTCTTTCTTTCTTTCTTTCTTTCTTTCTTTCTTTCTTTGATGCAGGGTTTCACACTGAACATGGAGCTCACTGATTGGCTGTATTGACTGGCCAATGAGTCTCTGTGACCCTCCTGACTCTGCCTTCCCCACTTCTGAGATTACAGATACTGACCACCATGACCAGCTTTTTATGGGGGTGCGGGGGATTTGAACTCAGGTCCTCATGCTTGCAAGAACTTTCTCTCTGAGCCTCTCACCAGCCTACATGACACACGTGTGTGAAGGGCTTTCAAGTTTTCTTGACACTGAAAGTATTTCAGAAATGTGCCTGGCATGCCCTGTGGCACTGCTGTCACCGGTTGATGCCATCCTTGTGAAATGCTCTTTTATTGCTTCCATTGTGTGTCACCATGAAAGCAGCCCCCCTTTCAAAGCTGGTTGAGAGTTACAGGGCCTTTTCTGTAGTTAGAAGAAAGATGACTTGTTTGTTTGTTTCACACTTAGAAATATTTCAAGTTTGTGATAGGTAATTTCCTGAAATAAAAACAAGGATCACATTTTTTTTTTTTCTGGCATTAAGAGTCAAGCTCAAGGCAAGTAGAAGGTCATTGGCTGTGTGTGAGTCATCAGCCAGAGAATTTATGCTGTGCTGTGTATTTGGAGAGTTCTCAATTTCATGTTCGTAGAGATGAAATGAATTGAAAGATACTTCTTATCTTTTAAAAATAATATGTCCCTTTAGGCAATTGTCATGAAAGACTAAAAAAAAAAATCTCTGATTTAGAGAAAGATTTTTCCAAAATATATGCCAGGGTGTTATTTTAATATATAGCTTATGAGTCAGGAGATTTCAAAATTAGATAGTATCCGAGGAGATTATTTTAGATGGAAAAATTAGCAGATAATTTTTCATTGGTAATGTCTGGGTTTTGAATAATTCACTGGTATTTCCCACTGGTTTCCCTCACAGGTGCCGGAAGCTGCCCCGGGCCCTGAAGGACTGGCAGGCCTTTCTGGATTTGAAGAAGACCATTGATGATTTCAGTGAGTGCTGCCCCTTGCTGGAGTACATGGCCAGTAAAGCCATGATGGAGAGGCACTGGCAGAAGATAACTGCTCTCACCGGGCACAACCTGGACGTGGGCAATGAAGCCTTCAGGTTAAGAAATATTATGGAGGCTCCTCTTCTGAAATACAAAGAGGAAATAGAGGTACAATTGATAGAGTAGAACAATGCATTCCTGGCATCTATCCACCAATTCCTTGTTTATTGAATGCCTATTATGGGAAAGGGTCCATGTTGAAAATATAGAGATGTATTCTTGCTTTTATAGCTTGGAAAATAATGAGTATAATTAGTCATTCAAATGAAGCTATTGGTATAAAGTGTAGCAAATTGAACCAGAAGGCAGGTATGCCACTTGCTCCAGGAAAGCCTGTGACAAATGGCTTGCATTATCTGTTTGCAAGTCTCTCTGGGTGAAAGGAATGTGGTTGTATTCAGGAGATGAGAGGTTGAGAAAGCGCAAAGGAAACCATTCCGGGCAGAGAGAAGTATGTTGGAAGAACCAGAAGATGGCTCCATGGCCATCTGGTATGGGTTAGGAGGGAAGGGAGATGGCTGGGGCTAGAGAAGCAGAGTGGGTGTTGAACACACCATTGATTTTGGTCTCCAGAGCAATGTGGAGTCACCTGGGCATTGTGTTTTCATCAGGGATGACACAGCATTGCATTCTGTGAAGTTCAACCTGATAGTTGTATGCAGAGAGATGAGGATAAGAAGAAAATGATGGGAAAACCTGCTGAGAGATTTTAAGAGTACATCATGGAAGAGGGAATGTTTTGTTGACTAGAGTGGAGGTCATGATGCTGAAGTGCTAGCAGGGAAGAGGAATGATTTGTTGACAGAAGAAGTCATGAAGCTGAGGAGTAAATGAAAGATCCATGGGATTTTTAGGGAGCAAAACTGGACAGAATTTGTTGAAGGAGGGAGGACGATAAGAAAAAGCAAGATGGGACAATCATGAGCTGTGGATTTCTTTTTGGGAGGTCTGCATGGATCACGGGTCTGCATATGTATCACAGAGAAAGGCAACATTCTAAGAAGTCATATTGGTGGTTGATGCAAAGGTTGAGCTTGAGTTTGGGCAGGGTCATGGGTTGTGCTTGTGGTCCTGTTGATATATTCACACAGAGAAGCAGGGAGGCTAATTGATGTGGGTTTTAAAGGATGCTGAATGCATGGACAGAGAAGAATTCTCCAGGAAAGGAACATGGTGAGAGAAAGAGGTAAAGACAGGCCTTGGGCATGAGTGTGGGAGATGATGGCTGGAGAGCAGAGAAGAACTGAGTCCCGCTGTCTCTATCCTTTCACACTGCATGTATTGACCTGAGAGGAAAATCAGAGACAGAAAATCTTACGTCTGTGGCTGTATCTTAAAATGTACAAGGATATTGAATCTTTGTTGTCATGTATTTTCCTGACAGGGATAGAAAAGTTTAGAAATGAAGGTTCTATTTTCACATACCTTTTATCCTCCTCTCCCTCTCCTTACACATTCACACCATTTATGGCATTGCATTTGATATTTGGAAATGTACAAGCTTTAAATACATATGAGATAAATAAGAGGGGCTCTCCTGGACTTGGACTATTGACAAGACATGTAGCTTTCCTGCAATAAATGAGAGCTCACTGTGTTGGTAGGACATCTGCATCAGTGCAGTGAAGGAGAGAGACATCGAACAAAAGCTGAAACAAGTGATCAGTGAATGGGACAACAAAATGTTAACATTCAGCAGCTTTAAGACCCGTGGGGAACTCCTCCTGAGAGGAGACAGTACCTCAGAAGTCATTGCCAGCATGGAGGACAGCTTGATGCTGCTGAGCTCTCTCCTGAGCAACAGGTAGGAAAACCATTTTCCTTATTCTTCAGATCTACAAGGGAGGCAGGGTAGCGGTTTTCCTTATTCTTGAGATCTACAATGGCAGTGGGTTTTATTTCATTATACCCTGTGGGGTGTGTCTGAGGCATCAACTGGACTTAATGACATCTGCAATTAGTCCCTTGGGATTGCACCGAACATTTCATCTTTGCTCTTGACATGCCTCTCCATGTAACCCCAAAAAATAAAAGACCCAGAGACTGATACTGGGGTTTAAGCTTCAAGCTGAAGATCAGAGAAGCAAAGCAGCCAAGCCAGTAGACCTTACCACTTCCAAGCTGGAAAGGCAATCCTGTCTCCACAAATCCTCAGAGGCAAAAACTCTCAGTTCCTGTCTCCTCCTTCTATCCCTTTCCCTACCCAGTTGTATCACTCCTGTCTCCACCTCCCTAGTGCTTGATGTGTGATCCCAGGTGCTGAAATCACCTTTGTGTGAGCTGTTTCTTTTAGGACTGGATCAATTCCATGTAGTCAGTGTGACCTTAAACTACCAGAGATCCTTCTACCTCTTATTCCTCAGCCCTGGGATTAAAAGTGTGTACCACCACTGCTTCTATAGCTAACTGGTGTGGCTGGCTTTGCATCCTGAACCCTCAGGCATGGTTTATTAAATCATAAATAATACATCACCATGCCTCCCTGCACAGCTGACAGTGCAACAAGTTGTAGATTCCAATGGGAATGTTATTCTGAATTCTGGAATCATTCTGCCTGTAAAGCCTTTGTTCTAACATTTCCGATCTGGAAGCACATAGGTCTGTGCATACTTTACTGATGACAGATCAAAATAGCATGAAGAATGGTGCACACAGGAACTGGCCTAATACTTCATATTGACCATTTGGTTGAAGCAGCAAAGCAAGCCTGTGTTGGCATGGAAACCATAGGCTCATATTTCTCAACGAATTTGTTTTTGTTTGTTTTTCCCCCAATAGTTTATTGTATACTCAGATCTCAAAGTTATGATAATTGCATGGTTATCACTGAGATATGAATGTATTGTATCTTTCTGTGTTTCAAATATCACCCCATGTGTATGTCTAAAAATACTTTTTTGAGACAGCGTCTTGTTATGTAGTCTAGAATGGCATTAAACTCATGATTTTTCTGCCTATGCCTCCTGAACACTGGATTTTCAGGCATTCACCTTCTGTAAATCAATGATTTAATAATTTAATATTTAATGTCATTTAAGTAAAATTCTTGTTATTTTCATTTATTTAAGCACACTTGAGTGAGTGATATGGACTATAAAATTTAGTCTTTAGATCCTTGATAGCATTGAGCCTGGTGTTCAGCACTTGGTGAGTTTTTAATAAACTTGGATGGCATACACTAAAACTAGAAAGAGTGATGGTGATTTGAATGACAGCACATCTAGAGAAATAGAAAAAGCATGTATAAATATTAAATAAATGGTATGTGTTAGGGACACAGGAGTATTTATTTTTAAATAATATCTATCATACAGAGTTGTGTAACAAACATTTATTCAATTATATATTTATTGACTGCTTGTTATAGGCCCAGTTTCTGCATGTTATGGATTGTGCAAGAGCATAAAGTTAAATATCCATGTGTATACACACAGGAATGGCTGGGCACAAGGAGGGTGGGAAATTAGGAAGAGACATAGGAGAAGGAGGCTATAGAGTGTCTAGAAATTATCGTTGCTGAAGTTTACATTAATTATCCAGTTTCCACTGACAGCCCTGGAATTACTACTAGAGAATGACAATCTATACCTCCTGTGAGAGGTACAGAAACTCAGCAGAGAGAAATTTAAGTTCCTGGATATCCTAACAATGACTTAAATATATTTCTCTGGAATCTGGGTGGAGTTATTTTTTGCCTGATTTTTTTTCTAGATTATCAGTTTTTTTTGTTGAGATCCATACTCAGTATCAATGCTGTAAAAACTGAGCTAAAAACATTTAGCAGCATCCTGTTTACTGCACTATGATGGCAGCACAATAAAAGCTAAAAAATAGAAGTTAAAAACTTTTTTTTTAACACACCAAAAATATGTGTTTCTTATTTTAGGTACAACATGCCATTCAAAGCCCAGATTCAAAAATGGGTTCAATGCCTCTCTAACTCAACAGACATCATCGAGAACTGGATGACTGTGCAAAACTTGTGGATTTATCTAGAAGCCGTCTTCGTGGGAGGAGACATTGCCAAGCAGCTGCCCAAGGTTCTGGAATTTTCTTTATGATTCCATCAGGTTATTCAATTTGAGAAACATCTAAGAACTGATAACTCCTTAAAGAAAGCAGTGATATTGTAATCTTCACTGAACCTTTGATTCCCGGCAACTTAGCTTCCCTTTCTGATGTAACCATCAGAAAGATGAGGGAAAGATGAGGATGATAATTAGAGTAAAAAAGCCATGAGACTGTGATGTCTGATAGGTAACTGAGGATTAAAAAAACCTAGAGAACAAATTTCTGTGTCATTGGTATGTGTCTTTAAATAACTTGAAGGTGGAGTTTGTAACAGTGTAAATTTATGGCAAATTTATCTTGACAATGGTAGGATAATTTGTTCTTTTACCACTGACATTTTAAAATAATGCATACTATAGAATATACCCAATTATATATGTGCTGTAAAATTAAGGATTGTAAATCTGCAAGAAAAGGTTATTTCTGAGATGATATATGTGTGTGTGTGTGTGTGTGTGTGTGTGTGTGTGTGTGTGTTATATTACCTTACCATGCACATATTGGATGCATCTTGAGACTTTTAAAGACATTTAAAAGTAAACTTAAAAAACCCTTATTTAACTATCTTGAATTACTTGTAAGGTGAGGACATGTGTCATCATGTTTGAACTGCAAGCACATGACTATGGCCACTGTAACTTTCTCCTAGGTTATTTAAGTGAACTGTAGAAGGCAAACCTGTCAATCATTTGTAAGGTAGAGCACTTTTATTTTGGTCAGCAGGAAATGTATTCATATACTAAAAATTTGTGTTCACTTATGCATTTTTTGTTTTTTTAATGTGTCAATAGAAACATTCACTTTAAAATATTTAAAGCTTAAAGTGACATTTCTTGCTCTCATATTTGGGAGTCTATGATCATTAATGACACATACGAACTGTTAAGGAAGAAAAGGATTAATAATTATTCCAACAATCCCCAAATAATCTACTAATTTTTGATTTTCTCCTGAAAAATGACTGTTTTTGCAATATTATATTAGAATTTCGTATTTAATTTTAAAATTATTATATTAATTCTTTGGGAATTATTTTGGGGTTTTTGAGACAGGGTTTCTTTGTGTATCCCTGGCTGTCATGGAACTCACTCTGTAGACCAGACTGGCCTTGAATTCATAGAGATCCACCTGCCTCTGCCTCCTGATTGCTGGAAATAAAGGCGTGTGCCACCACCACCCAGTTTTAGTTATTTGAGAATTTTATCTAATGTATTTTTGATCACATTCATCTTCCTCCATCCTCCCATAACTCCTCCAAGATCTACTGTCCCACTCCACCACAACTTCTTGTTCTATTTTCTTTTCTTTTTCCAAATAACTCACTGAATCCAATTTTTGTCCACATACTCCTAGGTGTGGAGTCCTCCAGTGGTTGACATATCAGGGACAACACTTTTAAGGAACATTGACCCTCCCTCCTTCAGAAGCCATTGAGTTGTTCATGGGGAGGGTTGTTCATGAACCCCCTTCCCTTACCATGCTTTGTCAACTGTCTTGATTTTGTGCAGGTTTCTGCAGGCCACCATAGCTGCTGCAGGCTAATCAGTGCAGTGGTCCTATCACATTCAGATGACATAGTTTCATTCTAGCCGTCTCAACCCCTGGCTCTTTACAGTTGTTGTGAAATACACCCCAAGTCTCGTGGGAAAGGGGAGTGATACAGATGTTCTTTTTGTGGCTGAGCACTCCACAGACACTTGTTCTCCCTCTGATTAGTTGTGAGTTTCTGCCTGTATATTGTTATTTTTTTTAAATACTTGGTATTTCCTTTCAAAACATATAAGCTATCTAATCCTCTTCAGAACTCTTGAAAATAACAAATTCACTCTACTTAGGATAACCAAGGAGAACAATTGGGAGTTATCCTTCCTCCCAGCTCATCTTGTATAGACAGTTACTTTTGAATTCAGTTTCTGTTTTACTTAACATAGCAGAAATGTCAGGGTTGAGGTGCATATTCTTATCCAATAAGGGGATGCTATAATGAAAAAGACACAAGGATCTTCAAATTGAATGTCTGGGCATCAGACATGAAGAGCTTGGATGTATATCCTGGTGGGAATGATAGCTTCAGCCAGAGGCATGTGAGATGCCTTATCACGGAGACCATAGACTTGTCCACTGTGTCACTTCTACAGGAAGCCAAGCGCTTCTCCAATATAGATAAGTCTTGGGTGAAGATTATGATGCGGGCGCACGAGATACCAAATGTGGTTCAGTGCTGTGTTGGAGATGAGACCATGGGGCAGCTGCTGCCACACTTACTGGACCAGTTGGAAATCTGCCAGAAGTCCCTCACAGGGTGAGTTCAGTGGCTCTTTGAAAGCTCCTGGCATCTTGGGGATGAAGGGCAATAGAAAAGGTAGGTAAGAAGAGTCACATTTGTGCCATTTGTCTGAAATTAACTTCATATATAAATTATTGTGCAGGTGAGGCTCTTCATTTGGAGCCTCATGCTCCATGCCCATCCTGGTGTTGACTCAGGACTCAAGATGTTTCCTTAGGGTGGTAAGATCTTGTGAACATTTCCATATAGTTCTCATCTTGAAAATTGTCATACCCCATTATGACATTCTTGTTTATCTTCTTCTATACCTATAGATACAGAACCGAAATATTCCATTATATATATTATACATTAAATAGAGTACATAGACAAACAGTCAGGACTATAGGGACATGAGTGTTTGCCGTAGTGTCTATCCATGCATATGTATAAATAGATACATGTGTAGGCTTTGAAAATTCAAAGACATAACTTTTTCCCCTTGTTTTTCTTTTTCTGGTTTTAAAATAAGATAATATAAAGCCAGGCATAGCACCCAGGAGGCTGAGGTGGGATGACAGTGAGGTTGAGGATAGATACAACTACCTAGCGAGACCCTATATCAAAAAACAAAACAAAGCAAAAACCCAAAGCAAAAAATAAAAAAAAAACTAACCTAAACAAGCAAAAAACCAGAATGCATACGCATACCTATACATAACACACATGTACACACATACACACACAACATAAACCAACAAGAAACACAGAAACAAAAACAACTCTTCTAAGCAAGCAAATAAAAAATAAAAACAACCCACACAGGCTGGGCGTTGGTAGCACAGGCCTTTAATCTCAGCACTGGGGAGGCAGAGGCTGGCGCATCTCTGTGAGTTCAAGACCAGCCTGGTCTACAAGAGCTAGTTCCATGACAGCCTCCAAAGCCAAGGAGAAACCTTGGCTTGAAAACCAAAAACAAGCAAACAAACAAACAACAAATAAACAAACAAACCTAAAAACCAAAAAACACAAATATACATACTGTGATAGTTTGAACAGGTATGTCCCTCCTAGACTCATGTGTGCCAATGCTTAACCATAGAGAGTGGCACTATTAGGAGGTGTGGCCTTGTTGAATTAGGTGTGGTCTTGTTGGAGGAAGTGTGTCACTGTGGAGGTGGGCTTTGAGGTCTCATATATACTCAAGCCACGCTCAGTGGGACAGTTGCTTCTGCTGTCTATAGATCAAAACGTAGAACTCCCAGATCCTTCTCCAGTACCATGCCTGCCTCATTGCTATGTCCCTCCATGATAATAATGGACTGAACCTCTGAAACTGTAAGTCAGCTCCAATTAAATGTTTTCCTTTATAAGAGTTGCCATGGTTATGGTGTCTCTTTACACTGATAAAACCTTAACTAAGATAAAAGTTGGTACCAGGAGCTCAGTTATTGCTTTGCTAGGCCTGACTATATTTTTGTTTGGAGGAATATGGGCTTTGGGACTGTGCATTAGAAAAGCAGTTGAACTCTTTAAGAGGAGCTCAATGGGCCTTCATTGAAGGACCATGTTCTGCTGTGATAATAGTGGACTTAACCTCCGAAACTGTAAGCTGCCACCCCAATTAAATGTTTTCCTTTATAAGAGTTGTTGTGGTCATGATATCTCTTCACAGCAATAAAACCCTAACTAAGACACAAACCAATCAAGCCCCAACTATGAAACCCAAAACACACAACCCAATCAGGCCAAACAACAGCAGCAGCAACAGCAACAAAAATAACAACAATGAAACAGCATCAGTGACTCTCAGAAAAATCACTTATTTAGAAACATGATGAAAATGCTTTTCTAAGAGTATGTCAACATTCCTGGTAGAAACTCATTTAAATTTAAGTTGAACAACGATGTCTCCCAGAGGACAAAGACAGTCTTTGCCCATGTACACATCTGTGTGTCCTCATGACCAGTGATAGTGTTTGGACAAGCTTGTACTGAGCCCTAAGGAACCAAGCTAGGTTGTTCTCATTGACATAGGTGACAGTTAAAAATACTGGGCTTCAGGTGAAACTTTGAAATTATTTTAATGAAGAAAAGATGAATTTACCACACTTGACAAAAACACAAAGTGGTTACTATGAAAATAGAAGAAATAATATATTATCATTTAAGCACTATTGATTACTTAGTTATCCTTGCCTACTCAAAACCAGTTTTGAGATGGCTGTTGAAAAATAATAAAGTTGCTATTACATTAAAGTCAAAGAAAAAGAAAGGGTAATAGATTAGAAGGAAAAATTGGTGGACCTCTCCCATAAGTGGATCTAAGTCAAATGAAAAAAGTCCTTTGGGAGGAGTGTGAAAGACCATACATACTTAGGCACAACTTTTCTAGGGTCCACAGCACAAAACACAATGGTTTTCAGTAAAATACGTGTGTGTGTGTGTGTATGTGTGTGTGTGTGTGTGTGTGTGTGTGTGTGTGTGTGTATGTGTGTGTGCTTTGTGTCCTTGAATCAATACTTTGGGCAAGTTTCACTGTGTATTCTCTATCCCATCACAGTGTATGTCCGCCATGAGCTGGTATACGTGTATGTTCATGTATGTATACATGCTTGTAAAAGCCAGAGAACAACCTTAGTTGTTGTCCTTTCGGTGCAGTTCAATTTTTTTTTTGTGACAAGATCTCACACTGGCCTGTTAATCAACAAACAGGATAGGTTGGCTGACCAGTGGGCCCCAGGGAGCTGTCTTCATTTCCTTATCATCAGGATTACAAGTGTGTTCCACCACACCTGGATTGTTTTTAAACATGGGTCTGTACATTTAACTCAGATCACAAACACTGAACCTATTAAGCTATCTGTCCAGCCCCAATCTTGAGCTTTTTATTAAAAATAATTATATTTTATTTATTGTTATGATGATGATAATTATCATATGTGTCTCCGGTATGTGCACACATGTGGGCATGGGCCATCTTGTGCTTATGGATACTAGAGGACAATTTGTGGGCATTATTTCTCTCTTCTAACATGTTGGTCCTGGGGATTGAACTCAGGTTATTTGGCTTGCATGAATAACTTGGGAGAAATTTAAATCCTGACCGGAACCCAGAGGATAGGCTATCTGAAGTGCTGTCAAATGATGGGGCATATTAACAGGATTTTCGTACCTCTGGGAGGTAGGAGGCTTGCTATGGAGCCTCTTGATCCCTGGAGTTTGCTTTTGTCCTGAGGAAGGGTGTATTTACTTCTCTCCTAAGAGAGTCTTCTAATGATATGAACCCTTTTTACAGGGCTGAGAAGCAAAGCAAAATCCCAAAAGAATCTGTAAAGTGTATTTTTAAAATCTTGCTTTCTATAAAGAAAATAAACATGTTAGTTTAAGTCATATGAGCTTAACATTAATGAAAGAATAAAGAAATCCTACCACTTACTCTGGAAAAAACCCCACCCTTTTCTGTTAGAACATGAAATGCTATTTGATGAAACTTACAACAAACAATATCAAAAGGTAAAGGAGGTTGCCTTCTCTTGCCTCCTTCTCTCACCCAGGGGATCTAATTTGCATAAAGGTCAGCAGACTTAAGGCGCTTTGCCTTTTACTCCCTCAGGTACCTGGAGAAGAAAAGGCTTTGCTTTCCTCGCTTCTTCTTTGTGTCGGATCCCGCCCTGCTGGAGATTCTGGGTCAGGCATCGGACTCCCACACCATCCAGGCCCATTTGCTGAATGTGTTTGACAACATTAAAACTGTCAAGTTCCATGACAAGGTCTACCCAGTTTTAATCCCTGCTTGCAACCTCTGTGTCTCAGAGCGCCCACTCTCTCCATCAAGTACTTCTCTAATACTGTGATTACAAAAGATTTACCCCCTTGCCATTAGCTTTCAGCTAGTAATTAAAGGCAAACTCCAGTATCCAAACTTACATTCAGTCTTCTATGGTTTGCTAGTATCCAAAATGCAGATTAAATGGTGATCAACAATTTATTGTACAACACGAAGAATTTGAGGCAGGAGGATTGCAAATTTGATGCCAGACTGGATTACACAGTGAGTTAAAGCTATCCTGGATTAGTACAAGTCCTCATCTCAAAACACACAAGCAAGTTAAAAAAAAAAGGCAAAATAAACACCATTTTAAAGCACATTTTACAATACTTATCATTTTACATATTAAGTACTCAGAAATCCACTGAGTTAAGGAAATCAATAGCTTATATATAGTAGTGTGACTAAACAGAATTGCTGCATAGATTTGGTTATTTTTGTCATGCTTCAGAGGTTTGTGGTGTCCTTCAAACTATTGTATTTTATCTTATACTCCTACTGTGTTTATGGCCTCATGGAGTTGTGTAAATTATCCAACTCGATGGAGAGTTCATTTGCACAGCTTCCAGAAGACACTGTTCATCCTTCTATCTAAATTTCTACAAAAAGGGCCTTTCTTATCTGACATTGTGTTCAGTCCTCTTGTGCCTCATATCAACTCAGTAATATTCATTTATTCACCCTATCGGCCAGTTTAATCTACTGAGCGGCTATCATGTGCCAGATGTTTTGCCTAAGAATGGGAATATACCAGCAAGCCTCAGGGAACTCATGCTCTGATGGAAGAGATGGAGAAGTAAACAGATGGACTCTATGGAGTGCAGTTAGTGCTGTGGTAGATGGATACCATGGTAGGCAATTAAAAGCCGGCCATTATGGTCAGGCGCCTTGCTATGTGCCACAATGAGGCTGGCTGTAGGATTCCCAGGGAGAATGTCTCACTAACAATTATTCCTTATCCCAAAATTTCACTATTAAATTGGTGATATACTTGGACCAAATTACTGTGTTTGTGTTAAGCACATGTACCTAAGAAAACCTCCCAGGGAGCCCTAACTTGGGTATATAGATTGTTAGGAAGACTTTCCAAATGAGTAAATTGGTTTCAATTGATGTTTTGAGCATGAGTGGAACATAATCAGGTAGCTGAAGAAGGGAAGCGTGGCTTGGCCAGAAAGCAGTGTGTGTGAGAGCCTAGAGGTGTGTACAGCCCAGATCAGAACTGTGGTACATGGGCCAGTGCTTAAGGTTTTCATGACTTGGAACAACAGCAGCATGTTCTCTCAGTTCTGGAGGCTGGAAGGCAGAAATGAGATGGTGGCAGAGTTGGTTGTCCAAAGGAGACCCCGATGCCTTTGCCACGGTTTCTCATGGCTTTTGACAGTCCTTGGAGTTTTTGGCCACTAGTTTTTGGTCACTTTGATATCTGCCTTTTGTGTTTAAAACCTGCTCCTCTTGCAAGGTCAACTATGCTTATGAGGACATTACAGCCCATTACAACCTCACCATAACCCGATGAGATGCGTAAAGATTCTAGTTTCTAGTCATTTTGAATCCACAGGCACGGGTGCTTGCAACTCCCATGTATCTGGTGTTGGAGAATGAGATTCCAGTCACAAGAGGAATGGGAGGATTCCAAAGGCCACGTGTGCCATGCCATGGATAGTCACTTCATCCAGCATGTGTCAGAAACCCTTGAGAGGCTTCTAAGTAGGACATTCAGCCTGTGCTTTAGGAAGTTTGTCAGGTGCAGTTGTCTGGTGGAATGGTAGGAAGTAAGACAGAGGAAAGCTGGGTTGCTGTCATAGGCTTCACAGGAGGGCCACAGTAGGGAACAAACACAGGGTGGGCTTCAAAACTCAAGAGCAATAGCTCTTGTTATGTGTGGAATAGGGAGGTTAATTTTCTTGTCTGATACCTAGGAAGTACTCCTTAATGGAGTTGGCACTACGTTTTATCATATGCATTTTTTCTTTCTCTGTTATACGTTCTACTTTCATTCTATTCTGCTGTTTGTGTTTGTTGTTTGTTTGAAACATCGGGTTGTTGTGTAGCGAAGGCTAGCCCGGAACTCCTTCTGCAGCACTGGCTGGTTTCAAGCTTATGATCCTCCTGCACTAGATTTCTGAGTGCTGGGATTACAGACATCTGCAAAAGGAGCCAGTGTTGTAATTTAAGAAAAGTTGCATGGGAGAAAAAGATGTGAGGAAAGGGATCATGAAAAGGGGAATGGGGAGGGGGAGACTGGCATCTGGGGGGGGGGGGGAGGCCGGGCGCGGGGGAGGGGAGCAGCAAAAGAGAAAAGAGAGGGAGAGCGAGCGAGAGAGAGAGAGAGAGAGAGAGAGAGAGAGAGAGAGAGGTGGGCAGGGCCCCTTTAAAAGGGAATGTAGAGAATAGGCACAGGTGGTGCTCTTAGTGGCTGCAGCTGAGGGCATGTCCTGTCAGAACCCCAAGGACAGGCAAATACAAATGCCTGAATACTAACAGCCAGCCTGCCATTCCAATTTTTATTAAGGTAATATATGAAGGTAGTCTAAAATACTGTTTCTCTTCTGGCAGTAGTTTGTCTTTGTGTTTACATTTATCATCATTAAAATTCTTGAATTAAAAAAAAGGCATTTTATCAAGAAGGAAGTTCTTCCTGATGCTTGGGAAAACCTTTCTGCTACAGTCCCAGGATTTCATGTTCAACAGGAAAGGGGACTTAACACAGCACTAAATTTCAACGTCAGATGAATGCTGTTTTGCTGGTTTGTTTACTTTTTAAACCAAAGAGCAGAAACAACAGCAAAAATTTGCATTTCCTTTATTTCATTTTGTTTGTCATGCACTGTGGGACATAATTAGAGACACAGAACACGTAGGTGCCTTCTATTAATGACCAATGTAGACAAGAAAATTTTTTTATTTTTTATTTTTTTATTTTTTTGTAGACAAGAAATTTAATCTCAGTGTTGTCCTCCATGAAGAGCTCCATTGGGATCCATGTCCTGAACTCTAGACAGCATAGTTTTCTCCTGCTACTGTACCACCTGGAGAGTGAAGTGAAATGACGAAGAGTAGGGGTTGGATTTGATGAGAAGACACAGGAGAGTCCTCTTCTGCACAGAGTACTGTGCATGGTGCAGAATTGGAATTACTTTGTAATGGCTTTGGTCTCATCATCATCTTGATCAGGCCATTCCTAATGTCAACCCAATAATCATGTGGTGTGGAATTATAGCCTCTTTGTGAGCTCCAGTTTGCTTGGAGGATTTTAGGGATTTTCTTTTTTTTCTTCCATCAACACATTTGTATTATTTATTTTAGAAATAACTTCTGTCCTTACAGTGCCAATGGCCTGAGTTTCTTCATTAGATTTTAAAGCTAGCTCTTTGTTGTTGTTTTGAAATGACTTTATGTCCTATTTTGCCATCTATCTTATGATTTGTGCCTTAACTTTTTAATGGGAGGGGTAATATTGACAAGAGGACACAGAGGAAAGGGATTGCTTATTTTTACATGAATATGGCTGCTCTTTTTCATCTTCTAACAGATCTATGATCGAATTCTGTCAATTTCCTCTCGGGAGGGTGAGACAATTGAGTTGGACAAACCTGTGATGGCAGAGGGCAATGTAGAAGTCTGGCTTAATTGCCTCCTGGAGGAGTCAAAGTCCTCATTGCATCTTGTGATTCGCCAGGCAGCCGAAAACATTCAAGAATCAGGTTTCCAACTGATTGAATTTCTTTCTTCCTACCCTGCCCAGGTCAGTGTATTGAAATTGGAAATTATTATTTTTTGATCAAGCAGTCATTTTAAATCTTAGATATTGCCTATTGTAAGCTTCACAAATGCTGTAATTTTATTCTGGCTCAATATTAAGATTTTCATAAAGACTTACCAAATATGGATAAGATTAAAGATTTCAACTATTGATTATTTGGCCATGTATAACTATAGACTTAAATATGATTTGGGGTTACAGAGATATTTGCAGTATTTTCTTTAGCTTACAACAGTTTTTCTCTTAACAAATATCCTTATGTAACATTGGACTTAGATCATAAAAGTGTCCTCAGAACACCCTTCACTAGAAAAAATATTCTTTGGCATTCAAATATAAGAAATGATTTTTCTTAGTCCTGTGATCAGTAAAGATTTTATGAGTGTCTACTAGGTACAAACCCTATGTCTATCAAATAAAGCCAATTTAATTCAATTCCTTTTCTGCGTGTGGCTTAAAAATCTATTTAGAGAGGTGTGAGCTAAACTTGTGTGACCAAGAGCTAAACCAAGAGAGATATAGACACATCAGAGGGCTTCCCACACTTAGGCCTTAGATAAATAACATGAATGGATTTCATGGACTTTGAAATAAATCAAAGAAGTTGACATAATCAGGGCCATCTGTTTTTATAATAATTACAATAACTTATCATAATGATTTCTATGTAAATTTGAAATTCTCTGCGTATGTATGTATGTATGTATGTATGTATGTATGTATGTATGTATGCATGCATGTATACACTCTTGTAAAGACTCAGCCTCTTTTGTTTAAAACCTCTACAAGGTTGGATTATTAGGAATTCAAATGATATGGACCCGGGACTCAGAAGAAGCCCTTCGGAATGCCAAGTTTGATAAGAAAGTCATGCAGAAGACCAACCAGTCCTTTCTAGAGTTACTGAACACACTGATTGACGTTACCACAAAGGACCTGAGCTCCATGGAGCGGGTTAAATATGAGACTCTGATTACTATTCATGTGCACCAAAGGGACATCTTTGATGACCTGGTAAATGCTTTATAAATGATCTATCATGAACAGAAAAACAAATTCTAGACGCAGTCTGTGCTCACCACTGGACTGATAGGATGGATTTTGTGAAAAAGTCAAATTCAGGCACAGGCACACTGACATCAGAGGGTACATGTCAGACTCTCTTTTCAGCCTTAAACTGAAGTTTCGGTCACATTGTGATGATCTATACTACGCCATTGGTGGAACAAGACATCACTTTACAATTCTTTGTGTTTATTCCAGATGCTAAAATGTCATGCAGTGTCCCAGAAAGTTTTTCTCTTTCTCATTTCCCTTGTAGTTATTGATGGAATATTCCAGGTTTCTTGGGGGCAGAAATTATAAACGTGTTGGTCGGTCGTAGAGCTGTTTAAGGCTTCTTTGGAGGATTTGACAAATCACACCCTTCACAAGTTTTACCTCCCTTTACGATGTTGATTGTAAAGTAGCCCTTCTTACTGCAGCAGATGTCACACAGTTTGCCTGGAAAAGATAAGGGGAGGTTCATAGTTCCAGTTATGTGAAGTGTGGAAAGAATATTGTATTCTAGAGAATGCAATATTCGGTTAGATACAAGAAGCTCTTACACTCAATAATTTTCTGGATTGTGTCTTAGACCCATTATGTTAAAAAAATAAGAGTATGAAAGATTGGTCCTGATGTGGTGGAATCAGAAGACTGCAGTTTTTGAGCTATTTTGTGTTAATCTTCTTGCCTAATAGCTAAGCACACTGACTCTCAAAGGAATAAAGGGCACAGGGTAATTTTAGATTTCTTATTTGTCAAAGAGAAATGATTAAAGTGCCTTAAAATTTTGATAAAAATTTTAGACAAAACCACTGCCAGGTATTAACCTGACATTTAAATGTTAGGATTTTTAATCTGTTGAAAATTCATAGGGAAAAAAACGGTTAAAAAGCTTAAAAAGATTTCATCTTGCCGGGTGTTGGTGGTGTATGCCTTTAATCCCAGCACTCGGGAGGCAGAGGCAGGTGGATCTCTGTGAGTTCGATGCTAGCCTGGTCTCCAGAGCGAGTGCCAGGATAGGCTCCAAAGCTACACAGAGAAACCCTGTCTTGAAAAACCAAAAAAAAAAAAAAAAAAAAAAAAAGATTTCATTTTATTCCTAAGAGATGCCCTTTTGGCCCTTTTGGTAATGACATTGTAGCTTTGTCTTTGTATGCTCATAGATTAAATCTCGTAGTTCAGATATATGGTCCTATTCACGAAGGGTGCATTTATAGAAATAACTCTCTTATTGAACTGTAATGCCATTTCAATTTGAGCCACCTAGCTGGAGTGGTCTTGCTTCCCCCCATTCCTATAGCATCTCAAGTTGCTTTTTTTGTTGACCAATAACTGATCGGCGGGTCAGATGGCGAGAGACCTGACTTCTCTCATCTGTTTGGTTTCTTCTCCTTTCTCCTCTGTCATCTGTGCAAATGCTAATGTGTCTACTTAGCAAGTGACGCCTCTCAGGTCTAACACATACCTTTTGAATTTCAGTGCCAAAAGCATGTCAAGAGCCCTACGGACTTTGAGTGGCTGAGACAGTGCAGATTTTATTTTCTGGAAGATTCTGACAAGACGATGATCCACATCACAGACGTGGCTTTCATATACCAGAATGAATTTTTAGGCTGCACTGACAGGCTTGTCATAACTCCGCTCACAGACAGGTGATGGGAGGATTCTGGTATCCCTCAGTCCCTTTCTCCTCTGCTCAGCATTCTAGTCCCTTGGGTGGCTCGGGGGACTTTTTGCCCACAGCACTTTTATAGCAAGGCCTTTGAAAGTCAGTATTTCTAGCTCTCCCTGTGTCTTCACATGGGATTCAGGTTTGTGGTTGAAATAGACCCAGCTTCTTTTGCCTTCAGTCTTACAGAGGCAAAGTGTAAATGCATCTGTGAATACTGAATGGACAAGAAAGGAATTAATTACGGTGTGCCACTAGGTGTGAATCACAGGGGACATCGAAGGTTACTTTATTAACTTCAGCACCTGTTGTTCTTTGGAGAAGCAATTAAGGGATTTTTAAAAGCAGCAAAATGGAGTGAAGCACAAACAAAAGTAGGAAGACTGAGGGGCGTATGGCAAGGACACGGGAGTCATCATTTCCTTTCCCTTTGCTGGCCACCTGTCATTCATGCTGGCAAATTACAACTGTCAGCTTGAGTGGATTAAGAAACACCCAGGTCATCCATCGTCAACACCTTAACTGCCTTTGAGGGCTTTCCCCACAAAGAACTAACCGAGGGTGATGGCCCCATCCTATGGACTAGGGTCTCAGAATGCATCAGAAGCGAAAAAGTGAAAGCCAGCTAAGTACCAGCTTCCATATTCTCTGTTTCCTGACCTAGCAAGACTCAGAATTTCCTCTCTGAGATAATCATCAGTGTCCACCTCTTGTTAGGTCACTGTCAGGGATGTTTGATGTTTGACATAATGCAGTCGCTTCTGTCTGGACAACCCTCCTGCCACCCTCTATTTCCTTCTCACACTTCTGTGCTCTCCATGCCCCAGCTTCCAGGAAAAATAACCCAAACAAACAAACAAACAAACAAAAAACACAGTTGACTGTCTTAACTGTACTCTGTTCAGACTCACAGTGTTAATGTTACATTGCTACCATAACAAATCATCCCAAGATCAGAAGCTTAAATCACACAAATCTAGTATTTTTTACCCATTCCTTAAATCCACAAGATGGCCGAGTTCCTTCCTAGAGACACAAGGGGGCACCACTTTCCACCTTTTCAGGTTGTTGGTGGAAATCCTCTTGGTTGTAGGACCCTGACCTTTGCTTCTCACTGATTGTGAGCAGAAGACCATCCCGGCTCCAGAGAGCAGCCTTGTTGCCTGATCTCTTCCTTCACCTTGACAAGCACAAACAGAGGGCTGAATTCATGCCCTTTGTCCTTGCACCTAACCTCCTCTTGTGCCGTTGACATGTTTTTCTGTCTCCTGTTTCCTCAGAGTGGATTGAATCCACTGGGTAATCCAGGATAATCTGTCTACCTCAAGGTCCTCACCTTGATAATGTTTGCAAAGTCCCCTTAGCTATATAAGGTGATATGCTCACAGTGTCCAAGGGTTAGAATATGGGCATTTTGTGTGTGTGTGTGGCAACATTATTCTATTACACACCCTCATCCCCTTAATAGAAAGCCAAGCAAGTATTTTCAGCTTTAAATGCAGACAGTTCTGCAATTCATTTTAGACTTTCACCCCATGCTCCCTTGTCTGCATTTCTTCAGCTAGAATGCGTGAGAAGTGAGGCATCATTTTCCATGGCTGGTTCAGAGGACAAGATTTTTCTGTCCTTTTACAGTAAGAAAGCTCCTCATGAAAACAAATGTCTCATAAGGGCATGATTTGGGAGGTAGTGGCGAGTACTCTCAGCCTTTGCCTTTGGACTTGTGACATGTGACAGCCAGGGCAGCTCCTAGAGCTGAGAAGCTTCACATTACATGCAAAGACCTGTTGACATTGCATTCGGTCAAATGGCCATCCTCACATGATAAAAACACACATTACCTTTCTCCCAAACTCATGATGATTTTAATAACCATCCTCCTTTTCCTGAGGGCACATGCAGAGGAGGGTGAAAGGTCCTCTCTGCTGCTGCCACCCAGGCAGAGGCCATGCGAAAGCAAGGGCAGACAGAGCATCCTGTTGACAGACACACAGAAAAGTCTGTGACTATCTCTAATTGCTGGGTCACTTGCCCTGTATCCTCCTTCATGAATGTCTGAGCATTTTAGAATCAATAGGTACAGAAATCACTTCTCTTTACGCAGGATAAGGAACGCCTGTAATGATATGGATGCATAATTGCAGTCGTGACAACATTTGCCTGTTGTTCACAGGTGTAAAGAGCTCTGTAGGGCAGCAGTGAGTGACCCGAGTAGGCTCCTTATCTTGAAGGCTGGATGCACCTTGAGTCTAACAGAAAGGGCTTGGCTTGCAGCCATGGGTGAGACTTGGTATCGGCTCCTCCAAGATCCCAAGTAAAGTCACTCCATTGAGTGAGCCTCCTTCCTCATTTGTGATGTGGGATCAGGGGCTTCTTTCAGGTGGCTCTGGAGTTTGATGAGATAACAAGGGGACCATTGTGTAAGTGGCGGTGGTTAACGACTGCCCAGAAAGGGATGGTGAAATGCAAGCAGGGAATTAGGCCTTTGGCTAGAGGGAAATATGGACAAGGGTGCATATGTCCATCTGCTTTTACACCTGGCTTCTTCCTCCTTGGCCACGCTGGGTACTCACCTGGTTTTCAGAAGCTTATTTCTAGTAGAGAACCTGGGAGACCACAGTCTGTGTACTTGATATTCATTTACACATTTTCTCTGAGTGCTTTCTCAGGGACCTATGAATGCTTTATATTCAGCCATAGGAAGCAAAGCTGCACCGACTTATGGATGGTTTTCTTTGGCAACACCAGGTGGTGCTGGAATCAAGTAATCTATCAGCACAGTTTTAGGGTAAAAATTTCCCTTTAAAGGATTTCTTGTACCACTCACCAAATCTTTCCCGTGTTATCCTCATATGGTGAGATATGGAAGGACCTGCAGAAGCTCATGCAAAGACCTGGAATACTATTATTTAGCAGTGTGTTGTTTAAAACCATGGCATTGTGGGACTGGAAGACAGCTCAGGAGTTAAGAGCACTTGCTGCTCTTGCAGAGGACCTGGGTTTATTCCTAGCTCCCCTATCAAACTCACAACTATCTGTAGGGCCCAGTGCAGACGGATCCAATGCCTTCTTGTGGCCTCTGTGGGCTCCTGCTCATGCACAGTGCACATACACTTACACATGCATATATTCATACTCATAAAACATTAAATAAAATTAAGTCAAGGATGTAGAACTAGGAACTCCTAGATTAAAAAGACAATGAATCTATTTAAATGATTCCCAATCTGACAAATAGAATGTATTATTTTTCTCTTCTGTGAACTGTGGAAAATCTTGAGCATGTTAGATACTCTCCCACTTACTGGCATTCCAAGATTTGGATTCTTTGGGAGCACGGATCTCATTACATAGCTCAAGATAACTTTGAATCCACCATGTAGCCCAGACTGGTTTTGGATTCATGATCCTTCTCCCTCTGTGAGTACAGCTTGTGTTACCATGACCAGATTATTTATTTACTATGTATACTTGAGGTTTGCAACACAGTTTGATAGCAGACAAGGATAGTAAGCATTGTTACTACTTATTATTACATTGACACATGTTAGCACAGCTAGCAGCTCACAGTTACTTATTTTGGCGAGAAGAACAGCTAAAATCTACAAATTCTGTTGAAGACTCCTAGGACAATAAAGTTTTATTAACTATAATCCCCTTGCAGATCCGCTATCTATATTTCCTGACTTTACAAAATTGATATGTTGAGTTATCCGCCCTACATCTTATTTCCTGTCTCCATTTCTGCTTCCAGCCATTATTGATCTATTCTCTATGTATTCTGGCCACTTCTTCCTAGCATGTGAGTGAAATCATGAAGTATTTGTCTTTTTGTGTCTGGTTCATTCTGCTTAGCAAAGTTTCCTTGGGTCTACTTCTGTATGTAAAATGGTAACATTTTCTTTTTAAAGGCTAAAAAGTGTTCCATTGTATAAAACCATATTTTGAAAAGTTCATTCATCCATTAGGTGACAATTGTGTCTTTTTGTGTCTACCATGAGCATCCATTAGGTGACAACTGGGTCTTTCCTTGGCCTACAGTGAACATGCAGGCCATGTAGATACTTTCATGAAGGGTGAAGGGTGAATTCATCTTTGTGTGTATGCAACCAGATGGGAGATTGTTGGGATGTATGTTAGTGCTGTTTTTCATTTTTTTTTTTGGGGGGGGTAGTTCATACAGTTTTCAATAGTGACTTTACCAAGCCACATCTTCACCAATACTATGCAACCCCCTGACCAATGACCCTTTAGTAATATCCATCCTTTAGGGTACCAGGTGCTATACAGTGATACGAATTTCCCTCATGATCTATGAGACTCTCTAAATGTTAGTCTTTTGACATGGATAGAATTCTAGGGAAGGGTTGCCAAATAAATGTCAGCAGTGCTCCACACTCTTTTTCCATGCTTATACATTTTCCATAATTACTGTAAATACCATTGTAATAGAGCCTTGAAAAATTCAGTAAAGAAATCTAACTTTTTACAGACTTCCTAAACTTATTTGGACAGAGACTACTTCCTTCTTTTTCCATAGCACATCTCAGCACACATGAGGACCTCTGTCCTAGAATATAGCTTTGGAAATGATCTGTAGGAAGACTGGCCCTCTTCCTGCATCTTTAAGTCAAGCACAGGTGCCTTTCTCTGTGATGTCTTGCGCATCTTTGGGACTCCAAGTTTCTAAAGACAACTTGGCTGTGCAGGTGCTACATCACATTGGCTCAGGCTCTGGGAATGAGCATGGGAGGAGCCCCGGCTGGTCCTGCAGGAACAGGCAAGACAGAAACCACCAAGGATATGGGCCGATGTCTTGGGAAATATGTTGTGGTTTTCAACTGTTCAGACCAAATGGATTTCCGAGGACTTGGGCGGATATTCAAAGGTGAGCACTCTGTCACTGACTGAGAAATTTCAGGTCAGTTGAAAATTTCTTGGTAACACTTATCTCTCGGGGCTGGAGAGATGATTCAGTGGTTAAGCACACTGGCTGCTTTGCTCTTCCAGAGGTCCTGAATTCAATTCCCAACCACATGGCAGCTCACAACCATCTATAATGGGATCCGATGCTCTCTTCTGGTGTGCAGACTTACATGCAGACAAAACACCCATATATATAAAAGACATAAACAAACCTAAAGAAAAGATCTATCTCTCAGGGTGGGAACACAAGCTTAGCTTGTGGGAGAGTTGATTCAATCTGGAGCAATAACAACAGCAAAAGATTTGTTTATATTTTCCAGGAACTGGATATTTTTTGGTTTCATTTTTCTAGGTTGTTTTATTTGACAAGCTCAGTCTTAGCAGCATTAGGTGGATGGAATGCTCATGTCATTTTGCCTTTTGTTAGGCACTTATAGTCAGTAATACGGGTTGGATGTTTACAGAAAAGCTGCCAACTTGTCGGCTGTTTTGGGCTTCTTGATGCACCATTATGTGCTAACTTCAGTTTTTGAATAAACCGATCTCTGGTTCAATTTGGCAGCTGTGTAATCTCCATTTTCTTGGTTTTCAGAAATGATATACTAATTGGATTTTCTGTCTAATTTTCTTTCTAAGGGCTGGCCCAGTCTGGGTCCTGGGGTTGCTTTGATGAATTCAACCGCATCGATCTACCAGTTCTCTCTGTAGCAGCCCAGCAAATCTCCATTATTCTCACATGTAAGAAGGAGCGGAAAAAATCTTTCATTTTTACTGATGGAGATCATGTGACCATGAACCCAGAATTTGGACTTTTTCTGACTATGGTAAGGTGTTGCTAGAAGAGCTACTGAAATTCAGCCTTCTTGTCACAGTGCTTGTGCCTCTCCCCAGTCCTGTGTCACTGTGCTTCATGAATGGAAATTGAGATTATAATCATCATTCCTGCTTGAAAATCTTTAAGTCTAAACAAAGCTCATATTAATAACTCATGACTTAGTCTGTCCAGGCGAAAGGAGAGTGAGGTATGTAAATTAGCTCTCCAGCTGACATTCCAGATTTGTGTTGTGTGCATAATGAATCTTTTAATATCATGCCAGTATGTCCTAGTTGCCCCAAGAGTGTGTCATTCATCCTTGGGTTTTGCTTCCATTTAGAACCCTGGCTATGCCGGACGCCAGGAACTCCCTGAAAACTTGAAGATAAACTTCCGTTCTGTGGCCATGATGGTCCCTGACCGTCAGATTATCATTAGGGTGAAGTTGGCCAGCTGTGGTTTCATTGACAACGTAGTTCTGGCCAGGAAATTTTTCACACTCTATCAGCTGTGTGAGGAGCAGCTCTCGAAGCAGGTGTGTTATTCTAAAGGTCTTTATGTCGTTAGCCACTTTTCATTTTTCTGTTTAGTGGAATATTTTCAGTTCTTTAAGAAATTGCTTGGGAATTTCATATATGCATATAATGTATTTTTATAAACCCACCCCACATCCTGTCCTTTTCAATTCCTCTTTTATCTCTCCTTCAACTTCTTTTCTTTCCCAGTTTCATTTTTTTTTAAGTCAGCTGAGTCCACTTAGTGCTGCCAGTATGTGTAGGGGTGTAGTGCCATGTATTGGAGCATGTGTCGCCTCTCAGGCTGTATTCCTGTTAAAAATCAACTCTCCCACTCCTGGAAGTCACCAATTACCATCATCTTCTCAGCTTAGACTAGAACTTTTGACAAGGTACTTTTGACACTAAGTATAAAATGATAAAGCTGATTTGTGTGTGCATGTGAGTGAGTGTGTGTGTGTATGTGTGTGCAAGTGTATGTGTGTGCACATGCATGGAGGCCAAAGGTCAAGTTCATGAATTGTTCCTATGGTTCTGTTCACCTCAGCTTTTGACATAGGGTCTTTCACGGGCCTTGAGCTAGCTGAGTAAGCTAGGGTCAGTGAGAACTAGGAACATGTTTGTTTCTCATTTCCCAGTGCTGTGAATTTAAGTATGTGCCACCAAACCTGGCTTGCTTTCTATTTATCTGTCTATCTATCTATCTATCTATCTATCTATCTATCTATCTATCTATCATAGGTTTTCAAATCCTTTTCTGATCTTATGGTTACATACCAATCACTTGACCTACAGAGATATTTTCCACGCCCCAATGAAATTGATTTTCTCTAGACTTTTGTTAAGAAAAACATTTAAAGAAATTACTATTTGTAGCACAGAAGCAATATGCTTCCTCTGCAAACTGACTTAAGAGCTATAATATTTCAAATGGTATTGCAGTTGTCAATTTACGTAACCTGTGTACAAGTCATGGTGTACCAGGTGATGGCACAGTGTTTGGGAACTTATGAGTCATTGACTCTTCTTACTCCTATGCTCACCCATATATTTAACTAAGCTTGACTAATTGCTTTTTTGATTGTAAACCTCTTGATAGTTTCTCATGCATTTGGGATAGCAGATAAAGCCCTCATGAGAGTTATTGGCTAGTACACTTGAGTTAACCACTTATTACATCTGCATTAATTATCTGTCACCGAATAGCAATTTTAGCAACAAGCTTAGTGGCTTGAACAGTGGACCATATTTCATGATGTCTGAGGAACTGAAGCCATCTTAAGTGGGTCCTATGTATGCTCCAAGACTGCAATGAAGGTGTTGGCCAGAGCTATGATTTCATCTCATGCTGGGTTGGGCATCAGTTCACTGAATTATCTTCTCCTTTCTGTTTCCTGAATGTAGAGAACTTTCCATGTCACTGAGTCCTGTGGTTGCCTTCACTGCTTCTGTTCTCCACCCACTTTACTCCTACGGTCACATTCATGAGGCCCTCATGAAATGACAGGAATCAATACATGAAAAGCAGTCATCCCCTTGCAGATGCCCCTTAGGCCCATGTATTTAACACAACTCCAGTTCTGAAAGGAAGTTTGCTTGGTTAATTTCATCCACTGACACTTGTGTGCACATCCACTTACACTTTTATGTCTTCATTCTTAAGAACTTGTGGGAATTGACCTTGAATGCTATCATATGCTCCACCCTCAATGCACAAGTACTGAGTTAGCTTCCATATGTCAGCCAGTGACTTCTAATGTTATTTTTTGTTTTTATTGTAGTTATGACTTTATTGTGATAAAATGCATAACTTACTGCATCATCCATTTCAAGTATACAGCTCAGTGGTGTTAGATCTGTTTACAACAAATAGATCTACATGTTTGCATAATTTCTTTTCTTTTAAAACTAAACCCTACAAATTGGCTGCTTCCTTCTCCCCCTTCTTTACCCCTGGTAGCCACTATTCTAATTTTTGTCTCTACCAACTTAATAGATAACTCATATAAATAAATTCCTTCCAGTGTTTGGTCTTCTGTGGCTGACATATTTTAGTTAGCATAATATCTCCAAGGTTCACTTGCAATGTGGTATGGGGTGCCTTTTTTATGTGGCTAAATAATACTCTACCTGTGTGAAAATGCTGTGTTTTGTGACTCCATCATCTGATGTAGGGCAGCTGGGCATTTGGGCCACTCCCTACTACTGTCTTTTGTGAATAGTTGGATATGAATGTTATACATTGTTGTTCAAACATCACTTTGATATTGAGCTTTCAGTGGGATTGTTGCATCTTATGGAAGATTGACTTTTTTAGTGTTTAAGACAATGTTTCATTATATGATGCAGTTTTTCCTGGAATTTGTCATTTAGCCTTGAAGTTAAAATTCTCCTGCAGTAGTCCCCAGGTGCTGGGCTTATAAGCCCTTTGCCCATGCGACTGGCCTGGTTGCCCCATTTTTAATTTTTAGAACTGCCAACTATATTCCCCAGTGGTTGGGTAATGGAGTTTTAATTATTCACCTCGTAGATGCTAACATTTGGAATGTAGAACTTGCATTATTATTATGCTAAGCGCAAAGCATGACTCCAGATTCAGTGGCATTCTTCCCCCAGGTGATCCTAGAATGTGGTGTCTTTTTCCTCACACGTAATAGCCCTTTATAATTAGCCAGAGTTTGAGAGTGTGGTGTGTGAGTTCTGTTCTGGTCCTGTATTTTAGCTATAGAGAAACATAAAGGGATGTCATAGTCTTAAGAGGAAATGTCTACCTTTCCCCTATCTAGACACATCTTAGTTTTAACCTAAGAACTTAAGTTAATGATAACATAGGGAAAGACTCTCAGATAATCTTCAATTTTTCAAACAAAAAAACCATATTGATAAAGGAAATTTTTGTTCTATTGTCTTTTTTAATAAATTTATTTATTTTACATTCTGGCCACTGTTTGCCCTCTCTCCTCTCCTCCCAGTCCCTTCCTCCCCTCTTCCCCTCTGTTCTTAGCCCCAATCCACTCTTCCTCCATTTCTGTTTAGGAAAGGGCAGGTCTCTCAAGAGTATCAACAAAATATGGCATACTGTTTGTTTTTTTTTTAAAGGGAATCAGCATTAATTTATGATCATGAATGTGTTTCCAGTCAAATTCATGTTGTTTCCATGAATAGGATAGTATTAGAGATAAGCCCAGCATTTCCTTTTTCTACAGGTTCACTATGACTTTGGTCTGCGCAACATTTTGTCAGTTCTACGCACACTGGGGGCAGCAAAAAGAGCCAGTCCCACTGATACAGAATCCACTATTGTGATGCGCGTGCTCCGTGACATGAATCTTTCCAAACTGGTGAGACTCACATATGGGAATATTCCACATACTTAAGTATGAGTTAATGAGTCAGTTATTTAAATTTATTTAAATGCCTAATTCTCAGATCAAGTGCTGGAGAACAGAGTTTAAATTATACATTTTCAGAGGTTCCTCTTCAAATGGCTCACATCCAGTCAGAAATATTTCTATTTCAGTAGAATTGAATTGATTCAAAAACAGTCCTCACACAGGAATGGAGAGATGGCTCAGCAGTTAAGACCACCTAAGAGCACTGGCTGCTCTTTAAGAAGACCCAGGTTTTTACTCCCAGCACCTATGTGGTGGTTGCCTCCTCAGGCACGAGGCATATGCATGCTGACAGACAAATACGCAGATAAAACATGCCCATGAAATAAAATGAGAAATTATTTAAAAAATCTACACATTGAAGACCCAAATAGTTTAAATTGTTTCTGTGTGGTAGGTTAAAAAAATGTTGTTTTTAAAAGTGCCTGGTAAGGAGTTGTCCTAAATTTTACAAGGATGTAGTAATTTCCCATTCCACTGATAACCAATGTCTAGTGTTAAGGACTCTATGTAGAATGACAACATGATGTTCTTGTTTCAAAAAGAAGTATGAACAAGACTCCAATTTACAAATTTACAAATATATTTCATTATGATAATCCCATCAGCCTAAATTAGGAATTGTAGTCTACTGCCTTCTGAATGGGGGATTTTATGTAACATTTGTAATGTAGGTAGGATTTTCTTTCCTTCTGTTTATTTCTTTCTCTTCTCATCTTAACTTTTTAATTATGAAAACATGAGGAGCATATTACTGGAGTTTAATAAAGGTTATATTTTATCTACTAATTGTTACCCTGGCCTATGCTGAGTGTTTTCAAAGTTTCTGTATATTCTGTGTTTGTGCTAAAATCATTGGCCTTATTTCCTTCTTTGTTCTTTGTAGATTGATGAAGATGAACCATTGTTTTTGAGTTTGATTGAAGACCTATTCCCAAATATTCTTTTGGACAAAGCAGGTTACCCCGAGCTTGAGACAGCAATCAGTAAACAGGTAATTTTTCATGGTGAACCAAGTGCTGTTTCTGATTTGTCTGAGGTTGGTGGGAGTCAGGAGGAACATCCTTACTCTCACCTGTGGATCTTTCCTCTGGACACATATGTAGTTTTTCATAGTCTCTGTGATGGAGGGATCCATTGTAACGTGCCTAGTCAGGCATCTGGATTTATGGACACTTGATGCTGTCTAATTGACCAGAGTTTGTCAATTAGAATATGAGTAGAAATGAACTGTGTAAACTTTGCTCCTTTGTTTATCTTCTTCAAAGATGAGTTTTGGAAAAAATATCATTTTATCCTCATAGTCTTTAGTTATAGCATAAAGTTGATTTTTCTGAAAATATTTGCAATACAATTCAAATGTGGTAATACTCACTGTATATTTTTTGCTTTAGAATTAGTACACTGAGGTCTGCATTTACTGATCAATAAGAGTAATAATTCATTCTGCAAAAATATTTTCTTCTCATTTGGCTAAATTACTACAGCTCTTTCTAAAAGGCTAAGGAATTTATAAGATGACTTATGCCAAGTATTGGTAGTTAATGAACTTTCCAAAGAGGGTAAATCACGTAAAGATAATGATCATTATACAAAATTATTTTTGAGTTTTTGCTATTTTATTTACTCAAGTTTGTTCTTTGATAATTTCAGAAATGTATATGATGACATCTTATCATTCTCATCCCTACTTTCTTTTATCTATTTCCCACTCCTATCCACCTCCATTTTTACTATAATTCCCTCTATATTCATGTCTCTTTGTTTGGTTTTGTGACTTACTGAGTTTAATCAGGGCTGACCATGTGACCATGGGTTTGGAACTGCATGTATCACATCTTTTCTAAAGCTCGGTGAACATCACGGAAGAGGGTGCAGAGAGAATGCATGAATTGGGAAATAGAAGAGTTATAGAATATCATCTTCTGGGCTCAACAAAGCCACTGAATTTATGAGCTCAAAATGATTCTTGTCAAAATCAAATCATGATTTACAGCAAGTTAAAGCAGAATATAGTCATAGATAGATCATAGGCCTGGATGTTTTGGGCTCAGATTCTAACTTCATGACTACAAGTTGTACATGGGACACTGATCATTCTGTGCTTCAATTTTTACTTATCGATAGGCCCACTCTCATTATCTCACTTTGCAGATTAATCTTAGATCAGTGTTTGGAAACTCCTTCCTCCATGCTTTTAGTAGCTAGAAGCCATGAATGCACAGTGTGCTAGGTAATATTGAGACTACTTGGAATTTACATAGACTTTCAATCAATTGATTGGGCATAATAAACATTTTTTTCTGGTTATAAATATCATTATTTAAATCATGTTCCAGTATCAGGAATAATGAGCCAGTTCCTGAAGAGAAATCCAGGTGCTTCTTACAAGTTTGGGATGACTATTTATTATGTTGGCACAGTCTTTGTGTTTGCATGAATTAGTTTTGTGTGGTAGGTTTTTTTTTTTAATGTGGTTAAGTGCACACCATACAGTTTATTAATTTGAATGCAGTGAAGGGGACAGAGTTTTTACAGTACGTGTCTTCACACTCCTGGGTGTCTACTATGTAGTCACCCCTATTATCCACCCTCTGATAGATTTGTTTTTTTCTATTGTATTATTTTTCATTATTTGCCCTTGATTTTTTCCTATTTTTAAATTTAATTTAGAAACAAGATTGTTTTACATGTCAATCACAGTTCTTCCCCCCCCCCCCATCCCATCTCCTTTCTGTGCCCCAGGGAGGGTGAGGCCTTCCATTGGGGATCTTCAAAGTTTGTCATATCTTTTGGAGTAGGGCCTAGGCCCTCCCCAGTGTGTCTAGGCTGAGAGAGTATCCCTCTATGTGGAGTGGGCTCCCAAAGTCCATTCGTATACTAGGGATAAATAATGATCCACTAGCAGAGGCCCCATAGATTGCCGAGGCCTCCTCGTTGA